GAAATTTAATAATGACTATTATTGTACAAATTGTTGATTTTAATAAAATTAAATATACAAATTTTATAGTTATTTTTATATCTATAAAATTTGTACGCCACTATTGTCGAAATAGTACACTATTTAATGAATGTTTGACAAATAAACAATTCTTTCTTTCTTTCCATGGGCACTCCCAACATTGGAGGAATTACAAATGCTTTGCAGATCTTTGACCAATAGGTTCTCAATATCAGATTAATTGCAAGAAAGGAAACTTTATTCACAAACAATCTGTAACAGTAAAATAAATCATTTCTAACTCAACGTTTACCAAAAGAAAAAATCAAAACAAATTGCTGGTTGCCGTTCAAAAAGTAGCGTGTCTGTCCAAGGCCTTAATCAATGTATAGAATTGGCTGTCGAACTCCAAGTACTTGCTAACTTGCAGTATCATGGGAACTAGGGCAAATAAACGGGCTCCGAACAAATACTCCATGACAAGGGACTATAATAGTGCTGCTCAAGGATATAGTAGTGTTTAGAAGTACTGTATTGTTGCGAAATACATGCTATGGTGTTTTGAGCTGTGGAGATATAGTAACAGTACTTGATGGTAACATGGTAAGTAATAGGTGCAAAAGTGTATGAAAAATCTGGAGACGGAATTTGGTTGTGACGACATGATTTGTTTTTAGGTTGTTAGGCATTGTCAATAGTCATGTATTGTGTATAGCGGTTTTTAGGGATAATTTGGTCGTCATATTCAGCAATAGATTCGTCTTTAGAATCTTAAAATAAATAGATATTATCATAAACTTTATCTTTCGTCATGACCCTGTGAACTTTGAACTCGTTCTAGATGCCACAGATTTGTGTACGACAATTACAATTGAGTAAGAATTACAAATCAACTATCTATTCAAACCCAATATAGTATGACTAATAAATACGCAAGTCATAAATGCGTAAGTATCATCGGCAAAATAGAAAAAAAATAACCCGGTCACGATCACGAATACGTGTTTTTTATCGATATTATCGACACGCGTCATCGAGCATCGCCCATCACTAGATATTAGATTATCTCCGAGCAATATTTGACTTTCGCAGCTTTCATTACTTTTGCTAATTACTAAGAACAAAGTAGTGAAAGTTCTGGTCAGAATCCAAATAGTTTTAGGAATTAAATAAGTGATTTAAAGTAAATGTCGCGTACAATTTATCGTTGCTATTGAAGTAGGTACGTGTGTGGTAGTGGACTGAATACACTCGTGAAACTCATTCGTTATTCCCAAGTAGTAGGTAATAGTTGGATATTTAGGCCCGTATTAATAAATAAGTCTCAATCACGATATCAAGACCGGCATCAGTTGATACGTTCTCAAGATGCGATCAGCATCTTAATGTCGACGCTAATTAATAAACCTATATCCACACGATCTCAGGTGATACCGCGGTTTGGATCGGGTTATCAAGATTCGTAATTTGACACTCAATGAAATCCTGATGTTAAGACTTGTTACGTCACAGCGAACGAACTATTACATCTTTCGTTCATTCCGTTTAGTAATAGCTTTGTAGAACGATAATATTTAACTCTGTATGCATAGGAATAAAAGTTTTTTTCCAGTTTAAATTGATTGAAGTTTTAGGAAACTATATTACTTTTTTATATTGTATACATTATGATTTGTTTGACCATAAAAAACACTATTTGTTATAAAGTTACGTTTAATTTTGTGACAAAAGCACATACCTACCAGGGATTGCGCGTCACCTCAATATTATATCTGTCTCTTTCTCTCAATTGTTTATTAGGTACTTGATAATACAATCATACATTTCAGTGTTTCGTGTTTATTTACAAGTTACTTATTAATCGACTGCCTCGTTGGCCGAGTGGTCGCAAGTGCGACTGCCGGGCAAGGGGTCTCGGGTTCGATTCCCGGGTCGGGCAAAGTACTGCTGGGGTTTTTTAATATTATCAGTAGTAGCACGGAGTCTGGATTGTGCCCAGTATATGGCAATAGGCTCACCCCCTATTATATGGGACTCATAACATAAATAGTGAAATGTGGGTGTTACATTGTACTTACAGTGGCATAATGTGCACCTCTGCTTACCCCTTCGGGGATAAAAGGCGTGATGTTATGTTACTTATTAATATTTTAATATAGGTTTTATGGAGTAATGCTAGCAGTCATGATACTTTTCTAACGACGTTTGATACTGTAGGCTGAGATAAATAAATGAGATCCCCGCACACAAATTGAAAGTTTTTGTTATTATTAATAAATCGTTTAACATACATAACAAATTTAACTTTTCTATGTTTACAATTCAATTGATCAAAATAATTTACCTGAAAGGATGCTGTAGCGTAAAACCTCAAAGTAAGCAAGACTGCAATTTCTGGTGCAGTCCTCTGTTATCACTTTTTACCAAATTATTACTTATCAACGATACAATATCAACAGCACTGATTCTTGATTAAATCGAAACCGTTTTGCGTAGGAAATTCGAAGGGATTTGTCGCGTCCCTTATATAAACTTTAGGTAGGTACTTAATAGATTTTGAAAAGGCCATAAAATATCATCGTATTAGTCGACTTCATCATAATAATTGATTTCGGAAATAATATTCTCAATATTCATGGTTCCCGCGAAATACTTAGGTACGAGTTCACGATATTAAGTCCAGGGTCGACTGAACTTAACAATCGTGGTCTTGATAACCGTCCTAATACCGATCTTGAAACCCGAGTAATGTTTATTAAACAATACGATCTCAGGTGATGACAAGGTCTTAAACCGCGTATTAGGTTTTGTTTATTAATATGTCGGAATATCAAACAGGATCTTAACATCTCACTCTTACGCTGATATCGGTTTATTAATACGGGCCTTAGTGATATTGGATTGAAATCTTGGCTAACGCAACTTTGATTTGGTTGGTGTTGTTAATACTAATGTTGTTGTAGTACACACGGCTACACATCGAGTTTTACATAACCAGTATAAACTGAACGTTAAATGTGCGGAAAGATGATGCGACGCGACACCAGGATAAAATGGTTTTGTATACATTGATGTGTGGCCGTGTGACTAATAAGATTTTCTAATTCTTGGATCAAGAAAAGCTGTAAATTTTGCAACTGTCAATGGAAGATGTCTTAAGGAAAATGCGTGACATGTATTCAAATCGTAGCAGCGTTTCACAGTCTGCTTCATTGCAAACAAACATAAAAAATAATCAGTTCAATGGTTCCACATCTATCGATACATCGATAACCTCGTTAAAACAATCAATCATGTCCCAGCCCTATCGTATCCAGGACATCATGATATCGCAAATAACTAGAGATGATCACACAAAGTATCAACTTTCTATCGACTTTCGTTAATCGAATCGTAATAACGATCCAAAGGGTATCGAGAAATAGCAATTAATATTATCGTCGTATCGAGTAATTGGTTTGTGGAGGTAGGTAAGTGCTCGGATAATCAGATGTAAATCTTTAATTTTGTAACTCAATACTCAGTGCAATATCAACAAATAAATCGATTGTTTTAGTAGTCCTGGGCCTCTTTCTTTCTAGGATCTAACCACTATATAGGTAAAATTAAGAACCAAAATTAATCCACTTGGAAATATGGAATCCTTGTATTTTTCGTTTTTCTCAATAACCTAACCTGGTATTATTAGAACTACCAACTGCTAGGTAGCTATCAGATTGAAAAATATAAGAAAAGGTTGTTTAGCCTTAACCATGGTAACATCGGGTGTAACTTTCTATAAAATAAAGGGTTGTCGGCAACCTGTTCTACTGGTCCCTGTATTAATGTTGAGATAAGTGCAAAAATTCAGGTAATCCATACTTATCAGTAGCTTGAATTGCCATTTGTGGCAAATTATGCCATAAGTTAATGCACTTGAGGAAACTTGATTTAAACGCTGGTTCTAAACACCGTGTTTGATAAAACAAATGTTTACACAAGATACTTACTAATAAACGCCTATCAAAAATTGTATAGCAATACATGAATGGAGATGTGCTATGATAATTGTAGTAGGCGCTCTTAGTGGTGATTCATTCTTTGTGGCAGTAGGCGACTACACGCAAAGACGGAATAGGATCTTATGTTAAAAATAATTTTGTTACTTACTCTTATATTACTTTAATATTTTAAAACTGAAAACCTTAAAATTCAGACCTGCGGTAGCGCGTTATGTAAGCCAAATTCGAAACAAAAGAAGCTAGCAGCTGCTTGGAAATATTTTCTGCACTCTAATCTGATTGAACTCAAGGACTTTAGAAATATGTAGTAGAAAATTCAGTTGCTTTGAAAACCACTTGACCAACACCTCTAAATTAACCATATAAAAATACAAGCTAAACAAACGTATCTATTAAAGAGTTAGTCATATCATTAAATGACACAGTTAAGCCCCCACGATTTATGAGAAACAAGTCTACTCTTATTTTCATTGCGGTGTTGCAACCGTTGCGCCGGCCACGACCCGGTCCGGTACGGACGTCAGCCGCAGGCCCACGATGACAGATCGCATGGAAATTAGTAACCTGCATAGAGATGGGGAGATAATTTCGTACTTATGATTAATAGTGCAAGGTTGTAGGTTGTTGTGGGAATTATGCAATGTTGTCGTAGATAGTGTCTGCATACTCAGGTGGTGAGAATGTGAGATGATAGTATCTTTTGTTTGGTATAGTTTTATGTAAGTAGCTAATTAATACTGATTGAAGTTAATTTGTTGCAATATTAGGTACTTTAATAGTATTTCGTATTATATTATTTGGTTTTATATCGCCGAAAGTATTTAATTTTGTTAAAATATAAAAAATACATGTCTAATGTCTTAAAATAATTTACCAGACGGACATTAAAGTAAAAATTAGGCATCTAATTGTATTTGTAAGCTTTCAGTATTCGGGCGTACCTAAAACTCTGAAGATAGAGACTAGAATAATATTTAAATTATTTTTTATTTGTTACAGGAAAAAGGGAAGACGAACCGAGAAGATTTGAAAACAGACATACAGCATCGAAAAGAAACGTTTTATAGGGTGCGTATTTACCTATTGACACTTAATTAAAAACAATTTAACAAATAATAGGTATTGCTATTTACCATTTATTAATATTAAGTGTTTTCTCTTGCAAAGTTACGTCGTAATTGCGACTGACGGGTAAGCGGTAGGCCAAAGTATTACTGGGTATTTTTGAAATCTCAGTATTAGCACGGAGTCTGGAAATGTGCCCGGTATATGGCAACAGGCTCACCCCCTATTACGTGGGACTCATAACATAAATAGTGAATAGTGGGTGTTACATTGTACAGTGGCACGAATTGTCGTAACGTTCACTTCTGTTTACCCCTTCGGTGATGAAAGGTAGTAGAAAACAGTATTAGTTATCTATGTGGCCTAGTTTTTCAAGGAAACTCAACTGACAGACTTATCTTTTCATGAATTTTGGCGAAGAAGTAAATTGGTTTTAATTAATTAAGGTATATGTATATAGAGGACTTAATAAGGATTTGTGACAGAAAAAGTAATTTTATGTGCATTGCAACTGACGTCATACTTATTTAACTCGGTCGATATCCTTTTACTGCATTTAATATTAACGCCCGAACACTGAAAGAATAATCAATTTGAAGATGTAGGTACTTAAATATCGTGCATTTCTGCACCCTTTATTTTAAGGGGAGAAAATCATCGAATTTGACTGCTCCCGCCTGGATGAGGCGGAAGGGAGTGTCAGAATCTTACTGACTAAAAACACCCCGTTCCTTCTTATGCACTCCGAGCCGGAGCCCCGGTAACCCGTTAGGTTCTCCGCGGCTCCGTATGAGTACAACAGAATAGAGTGCAGGAGATCAGCCCTATTGGGCCCCATCTGTGGTGGTCTGATGGCACTTTGAGGCGCGCGCGGGGGTCTGGGTCTGGTCGGGTGGCGAATAACAAAAATCTCTGCACTCTGCCATTTTAGATAGAACTATACATAGGTTTTTGTTTGTAGATAGAACTATAGATACTTAAGCTCGATTTAAAATTGAGCAGCGTTTGAGTATATGGACATAAGTCATTCAAAACTTTAACATTCCTAATGTATCTACTTATATCGTGGAAGATAAAGGCTCTATGTCACACAAAATGATATTATCGTCTGTACTTACTTGTTTGCAGAGCGCTTATAATTCAATCAATGTAATGCACGCAGGCAATGTTCTAACGAATCACGCACGCTTTGAAAAAGGTCAAATTCTACAGACATTCTTGATACATTGCAACTATAGATATATTTTATATAGTACACTATAAGTGGTATTTTAGTTAAAGTTTACTTTATTTATATCAGTTTTAACTTCTGATGAGGATACAGATTGTTAGCATTACGATCTGAAAATGAATAAATTATTAGTTTTGAATGAAAATATTATGTACCTACTATGTGTAATAGAATTTTCTAACAGCAAAATTTGACAAATATCGGGCAGCAACGCTTCTTAATAAACCTGCAACTTAGAATACACATTTAGATGTTAAAAATATAAGCAGATATTATATATTTGTATTGTAACTTTCGTGAGACATACTAAATAAATTATTATGTTTTCGGCTTATTCACGTAATAATTTGACGAGGAACTCGAATAGTTTCAAGCCATGCTAGAGGTTCATATTCATGAGCAGCATTTCGCGACCCGCGACGCAGCGCGACAATCGCCGCGTGACGAGTTCCTCGTCAAATTATTACATGAGTAAGCCGAAAACATAATAATTTAGAAATTATATAGTTGTAATTAACATGTGAATATTTTTCAGGAGGCTCCATCAGACGAGGATTCCGCGGTGTCGTCCGCGCCCGCCTCGCTGTCACCCCAACCGCTCAACGACATGTGGGTCAGTATCTAACAACAAACAAAAATTATTTTTATCTACTTTCAATAAGGTTATTTTAAAGAAGACTTAATTATAACTTCTATCTACCTTCTTGAAGTGTAGGAGTCTCATGCTTCGGCATGAATGGGCCGGCCTCGACCGGAGTGATACCACGTCCTCACAGAAGACCGACGTGAAACAACGTTGTGTTGTGTTTTGTCGTGTGAGTGAGGTTACCGGATGCCCAATTACCCTCCCCCCCTTTCCCCAATCCCTGAATCCCCAACAATTCCTTATCCCAAAAGGTCGGTAACGCACTTGTAACGCCTCTGGTGTTCCAGGTGTCCATGGGCGACGCCGATTGCTTACCATCAGGTGATCCGTCTGCTCGTTTACCGGTTTATGCCATAAAAAAGACATCTATTCATTATGACAACATGAAATTATAGGACCTTAATACGCAGGCACTAAGCAGTGGTTTGATTTACTGAGGGAGATGTAAAACAATTTCCCTTAGATTGTCTTCTATTATCAACATTATTTGCAACCGCTATTTATGTTCTTGTTCTTAGGCAAAATTATATTGGCCATTTTACTTAGCCTTTCAATAGACAAAGCTATCTAGATAGATGGTGTTCATAATAATTGCGTAACGGTGTTTAAACAATCTAGAGAATGTTTAACTTCTTTATTACATCTGTGGTTTAAGTCTTTAACAGAGACTAGTTCTTGCTCGCGATCCTAAATCTTTTCATATTTTCCGTCCTTGTAAGAATTTTCGGAAATCATCTCTTAGTGCTCATCGTAAATGTAGAATTTCGCCTTTCTAGGCATTTGAGTTCAGTCAATCAGCTTTTTAAAGGAGGAGTTTTTACACTCATTTTTTGTCTTGTACCTATGTACCTACGTGCCCTACCAAACCCTTACACCTAAGTAGTTAAGGACCTACATATTCATTGACTGCCTCGTTAGCCGAGTGGTCGCAAGTGCGACTGCCGGGCAAGGGGTTTCGGGTTCGATTCCCGGGTCGGGCAAAGTATTACTGGGTTTTTTAACAAAATTCTCAGTAGCAGCTCGGAGTCTGGAATTGTGCCCGGTATATGGCAATAGGCTCACCCCCTATTACATGGGACTCATAACATAAATAGTGAAAAGTGGGTGTTACACATTGTACAGTGGCATAATGTATGTACACCTGTGCCTACCCCTTCGGGGATAAAAGGCGTGATGTTATGTTATGTTATATGCATTGTATTTGTATTTTGTAATACACAAGAAATCTAGAATTCAGTCTAAGCTTCCGTGAAATCTAAATTGTAAGCATTTACTAACCAAGTTACTATCAAGCCGAATGTATCGGAATTACCTAATTCTTGTACAAGGAAGAATCTGTTTGGAAAGCCAGTTGCTTTCAATATCCATTGCTACGTCGTGCGTAAACATTTAATGTTCTAAAACCAATGATTAATGTCAATAATTTTAATTGATGCCTGATTTTGTATGGTAATTATATTGAATGAGCTGTTTATATAATAACGAAGTAACTTGGTCGGTAAATGAGTACAACGGTTGTAGTTCAGAGGGCTTAGTACGAGTTTCATTTACGTTTAAAGTATTCGTAACGAGTACGCGTTCGGCACTCTGATTGGCCGGCGCCATTGAACCAACCAATCAGAGCGCCGAACGCGTACTCGTTACGAATACTTTAAACGTAAAACAAACTCGTACTAAGGCCTCAGTAGTACGGGATTTTATCATCAGAACATTAACAATATCAATAGATTGTGAAAATCAATTGTTGGACTGGACTAGATGATGATTGCACGGTTGGTGCGGTGGCTGGGCAATCGACTGCCGTGCAACGTGTCGCGACGCAACAGATCGCACGCACGCAGAATTTTGTTACGGGTCTGAGTGTCATTGTGTATGTAAACTTGTATGTTTGTAAACGCACCCACGATACCTAGAGGAGAAAATCCTAGTGTGGGTCAACGTTTTTTTTTTAAATAACTATATATACGAGGGTTTGCCATAATATCTACGTTTGTTAGATTAAAGATCAGTTTAAAATTTTCATGAGAGAGTGCTACTGTTGACTTCCTGTAGATCATATATCAAAATTTCTTATTTCTTGTGATACATGCTACAGTTATTTAAGTTTACCTATAGGTAGCGTGGCTTAAGGATATGTAATAGTAACAAGTATATCTACTAATACTAACACTAATACCAACAAAGGATTGAACACATGTGTGTTAGGTACCTACTAAATGACGTTAGACCAGCTGAAAGTATCGGAATTAACATTGAGACGGGAGAAGAATACGATTTAGCACTATGCAGAAGCATTTAGAAGACTATTAAATAATATACTATCTATTATATAAACAAAAATTCGATTCAATTAAACGTTAGGTGTCGCGCCTTCGACGTAAATATTGATTTTGCCACTGAAGGTCGTCTTTAATCATTAAACTAATAGTCGTTTTGTATTTATAGGCGGTGTTAATGTTCCTACCTTAGTTTTATATTATTAGGTAATACGAAAAATTTTCTTTTTTGTGGTTACCTATGTGTCTCTATTTTAGAGTAAATAAATAGATTTGGTTTAATAATACTTAGTATCTTATAATATCCTGAGTATTTAATTAGTTAAAAAGATTCAATAACATACTATATTTATAGCAGTATATTGTACTATATCTTGCTATAAAGGTCCATAGATCAAGTGCCATAAACTAACGATTTCACAATGTAGGTAAAGTTCCCGTTGCAATGTTTGTCAGCAAAGCAAAAGCTTCATTTCCACGAACATACAGACAAACACATGATTGAATTATCATTAACATTGAAAATAAATCAGCCGTCATCGTCTTACCCTACATCAAGCTAAGGGCTCGTACACAAAACTGCGAAGCGACGTCGCGTCGCAAACATGTGCGAGCGCCCTCTACGCATCGCAAGAACTTGTGAAATGTGATTCGCATCGCATCTTCTCAAAATCTTCTTTGTTTCTTTTTCCTGTATCACCTAAGCAATAACAGAAGTACACATCACGATCCATGTCACGACCTAGTTTTCAATTTAAAATACGTTTAGTACGATTGACGGTCATCGAAGGAAAGGTCACCCTGGGAGACGCCTTGTCGCACGAAATCGCATTGCAATAATTCGCATCGTAATTTTTCGCGTTGCGAATTCGCATCGCATCGCATCGCAGTTTTGTGTACGAGCCCTGAGACAAACATTAATAAACAATAATGACAAAATCAATATGGCCGACCACGGGTTGACAAAAGGCGATTGTACATGTAACGGGTCAATTAAACCCACTCGTAGTGTAAAGTTGGCTATCTAACTGAGGTTTAACGCCTTTTACGTATATTCTATAGTTTATACTAATAGTATGGTTGCTGCCGCCTCAGTAGACCTTTTGAAGATAAATGTTATGAGATTCTAAGCTCTTTGCTATGTTCGTAAGATGTAGTATTCACAGCGAACATAGTTCAGGAAAACAAGCGCTGTGTAGGCTTGCAAATTCTTTGTATTTAAATTTAAAGAGCAATTGACCTTTCATTAAGTGAGGTTTGTAAAATAAGGTTTAAAACGATCATGCGTTATCTTTGACTAGCTCCTTCCGCGCGGTTTCACCCGCTTTGCTCGGCTCCTATTGGTCGTAGCGTGATGTTTTATAGCTTATAGCCGTCCTCGATAAATGGGTTATCCAACACTAAAATATTTTTTGAAATCGGACTAGTCGTTCTTGAGATTAGCACGTTCAAACATATTCTTAAACTTCATATAATCCCGAGCGTACGATAGAGATCCATCAGACCACCACGGCTGGGACCCAATATGGCTAATGCTGATACGGAGCCGCGGAGGCCTTTACGGGTTGCCGGGACTCCGGCTCGAACGGCAGGAGTAGGAACGAAGTGGTTTTTTGTCAGTAAGAGTCTGACACTTCCTCACGCCGCCTGTTCATTTATAGGTACTGATGTTTAGTGTCAGGATTAATTAGAAAAGAATAATGGAGTTTTTTTGAAGAAAATGTATTGTGTTGTGTACATATTTATTTCTTTTCTTTTCTTATTACATATATATAAATAAGTCTTTTAGATATATTTTAAAACATATAAGTTCACATACACATGACACCCGGGCAACAAACTGTGGATCACACAAAGATTTATTCTGTGCGGGAATCGAACCCGCGACACGTTGCGCGGCAGCCAGTTGCCCAACCACCGCGCCAACATTCGGACACAAGATCTATGGAGAAGCTACATAGTTTAGTGTCAAGATTAATTAGGGAAGAGATTAATAGAGCCTCTTTGAAAATGTGTACATATTTATTTATTTTCTTTTCTTATTTCATGTACATAGTCTAGACTATTTTTTCACTTGTCTAGACAAGTCTGTTAGGAATAACAACAAAATCTTCTATTCCAAAAAAAAAATTAGACGGGCTAGCACTATAAACTTATTAATAACTATGTTTAGGAATCCTCTAAGTACTGTATAAGATCCTACTGAGATATACGTATAACATAAAATATAGATTTCAAGTGACTTACTTATTATGAATTCAGTACATACTGAAAGCCCCAAACAGTTTAAAATAGATTTTAAGTTTTAATTAGTTGTAGGTGATTTAAAAAAACAACTGCAAGTTGAATGGCCGTGCATCGTGTGATCGTGTGTCATCGATGTCCAAATTAAAAGACTATCTAAATGAAGACATGATTGAATACAATGCGTGAAATACATTCCAATATTGGTATGTAGGTTTGTGTTTCAATTTTGCATTGTCAATTATAAAAATGAATTAAATAGGTTCGAATTTTAGTGTAACTAGAGTACTTTCTTATACAAGGTGTAGTTTTGAAACCGTGATATTTCTAGGGGGCATGTCACAGAGGTCGTAAAGGTTCAATGTAAGAGAAAAATTCGGGCCAATAGTTAAAACACGGCTATAATAAATCGTTTAAGTTCGACAGTATTTCAGAAAAAGCGACAGCAATGTTAAAAGCAGTCAGCAAAGCTTATTGAAGTTTTATGGAATTAGCAATAATATCGATTACGTGTTTGAGTTTGTGTGTGTTGAGCCGCGTTATAAAGCTAGGTACAAGACGGCGGCGTGTAGTTCGCACTTACGGATTTTCGTAATTTACAGAAAAATGAAAAATAATTACCTACAATTTTTTTTATCAATTTGGACTCAGAATCGATAGCCGAGTTACCTCCTAGAAAATGACGCGGCTTTAAAACATCACCTTGTATTAAAATCTTTTATCGGAAACAGAAAAATATGTAAAAGTAGCCAGAACCTAAATAAACACCACTTGAAAGCAAATAATACACAAACAAAATATGTTGGCTAAGAATGTTTTATTTACAAAATTTCTTTATGCCTCCCAAACTTCCTTTGCAATGGAATATTTTGTTTTGATTACCGAAACAAAATATTAAATTATTATGCCGTACACAATTGCCGTCGATTGTACTAAGACTTATTGTTTTACATACAATCGTAATATTTGGTGGGCTACTGACCAGCAGGTCAATCTAACCAAAGCATTGTAATATCATCAGTCAATTTTCAACTTTATATTTAAACGAAATAAAGGTGAAAATCTATTGTTGATCATGGTGAAGGTTGATCTGCTACAATTTTCCGGCGCCAGCGCTGACATGTTTAGGCACATACGGTTGCAAACCAAGCTATACAAACCAGCATATCATGGTCTCGCTCGATACGAACTTTCCGTACATGTAACGGTCAGTTTATACTGAATTATTTAACTTTGTATCTAGTCGTGTGTTATTCTCAAAGAATGCTGAACGACCTTGGGACATGAGAGGATCGCTAAGCTCGGCTTATAATGTCAAACAGTATTGCAGTATAAACATTTTGTCACCTAGTAAACTATTGGCTTGGTTGTTGCGTCATTGTATTGTACCTCTAAGTTCTGTAGGGTGACTATGCCTTTCTTTATAGATCGTACTTGGATTGGAAAGAATTTTAGAATTATTAGAAAATTGTAACTTATTTTGTCTTGTATTGTAACTTTCGTGAGACATACTAAATAAATTATTATGTTTTCGGCTTACTCACACGTAATAATTTGACGAGGAACAGCGCGACATTCGCCGCGTCACGGGTCGCTTAAACTGTCAAGCACCAAGCGGTCACCGGTGACCGCGACCTATTGTTCTTTAAATGTGTCTATAAAACCGGTACTCGACGAGTTAATGCTGCTCATGAATATGAGCCTCTAGCATGGCTTGAAACTAGTCGAGTTCCTCGTCAAATTATTACGTGAGTAAGCCGAAAACATTAATAATTTATTTAGTTTGTCTTGTTTTAATTTGGAATCATTAGCAAAGGTTGTGATTTGATTGTTTGTTCTAACTTAGAATCATTTGCCGAATTTATAGGCGAGTATGATGAACTATTGTTGTGTTATAAAATCTGTAAACCACCATATTTCAGACAAATAAACGGATCTATCTATTTATCTATTTATAATTGTAAACGGGTCTGTGTCAGTTTTCACTATAAAAGAGACACAATCAGTTTATAAGAATCATACCTCTAATATAAATATATGGCTGTGCAGGATAAAGTAAAATTCTTTAAATTACAAATTGAATAATATTCAGTGTTTTCTTTACAAATTAGGTAGAAATTCCTATGACACAAGTAGGTAATTCAGTAAATTACCAATAACGCGTCTTTTGAACCAGACGCACTTTTAAAACAATAATTCCGATTCACTGAAAACCCATAATAATATCTGAATTAAGAATACCATTTACCAGGCATATAGGAGATTTCCTTTATTTGTTGACTTTTTGTAAAACGATACAAGTAAAACACATCCTTATTTACATAAACAACTATTAAAGAGGTACTAAGGAAAATATAATATACAATGCATAATTCAATTTCTTGATGTGGGCAGAACCAGTTCTATGATCATCATATTATTGTACGACAAGGTTAGTAAAGTAATAATAATTAATTTAACACAATTTCTATGCTGACAACGACAGCAAATGATGTCAGTAGTATCATAGAAATATCAACTTTGTTAACAAGTCATCATCATCATCAACAACAATAAATGCCCACTGCTGAGCAAAGCCTCTTCTCACAAAGAGAAGGTTTGTGCATTAATCACTACGCTTGCTCAATGCGGGTTGGTGATTACAAACTTATATTTAGAAATTATGAGCCCAGGTTTCCTTACGATGTTTTCCTTCACCGTTTGTCAGTGGTGTCTAAATAATCTGAGAAAGTACATATAACTCGGAAAAAGTCACATTGGTACTTGCCATTGGTAGATTTTGAACCCGCACTCTCATGCATGAGAAAGAGCATCTTAAACCTCCGGGCCACCACGACATTACCATGAATTATCGATATATTGCAATATTATCATATGATAATTCGATATATTGCAATATATAGGTTAAAGGCTTTAATTAATTTCCGTTTCGCGTATTACAAAAGGTTGATATTGAATGAAATATGTCGGCAATAGTTTCAACATTATCTAATTTGTTCCGCTCGTATCTAAATCGGTGGAACATGCGAGGCTTGCCCACAGACACTGCGCCTAAACCACGACCCGAGTGGGTGTTACCTGTGTAGGTTAATCTTTTAATCGTATATACAAAACTACTCTAATTTGGGCAAAGCGATAAAATCTAGGCTGTTTGCATGTTTAAATGTCCACCTGACCAACAATAGGAGGCATCGTTATATTTTGTTTTTGGACGGAGTTATAAAATTAATTTCTTATTAAATGCCAGGTTTTATGACATTAAGGCTTATTATTATTCATTTGAAATTGCCTAATGAGTCCTTTTATGTTATAGTTCATGTAATCATATTCAAATCGATTGTTGATGTAATAATTATTTAAGGAAACAATAAAGGAAATATTATATCTCTATGTCTAATACTAGTTATAAGATCTTTCTTCTAATACAGCATATATGCCCTCTCCACTTTATTATAGACCTTATTTCCAATGTTTAGAGACTACTTTTGTATGAACAAATTTAGGGAATGATTTTTAATAATTTTCAACGTTTTAACATTTTTGTGGATTAGGTTAAGTTTTTCTTTTAGATTTAACACGAAGCAGCTAAAAAATAATGTTTTTTTAGAAATAAATATTGTATAAATTTATAATAAAGTCTTACAACAACAAAACTGATGGTCCCTTCCGTTTCAGTCATGCGGCCAATGCCGTTCGTCGGCGGAGCGCGCGTCGGCCGCTGCGCGGGAGTGCACGCGCCTTGCGGACGCGCTGCGAGACGCGCGCGACCAACTCGAGCTCATGGAGTTCAGGCTTTTAGAGCTGGAAGACGCACATCCTGATAAGGTAGAGACACTATTTTTAAAAATATTTCTTTATTTTTTTTTAAGTGAGTGAAACCTTTGTGAAGTGATTTTTCCGATTTTCTTTTTATGCTGTGACGTTTTCCCGCGCGTGATTAGATTGTTTTATTTGTTTTTGTGTTTACAACGTCATTATATCGTGAAGGTGAAGGCTCATAGTTTTCAATGGATGTTTCAACGTGTAATGATGAATGGAAATAACGTAGATAAGGTATTTTTTTTTGTCTTTTTTGTCTGAATTTTTCCCTGTAGGTTAGAATTTTTAGTTATAGTGAATTTTGTTTTTCGTTCAAGTCGTGTCTATTTAAATTATTTAATCAGTATTAAAGAATACACTGCTTAATTTTATTGATTTCAGTGTAGGAAATACAAGTCATGCAATCAAAAACATTAATACCTACAACATAGGTACCTAATTCAGGAAAATGAGGTTTTATTGTCTTACTGAAACATTTTGCGATTGCTAGATTTTCTTTGAAGTTAATCCACCATTACAGAATATCTGTTGTATGGAGACTACCTATTTCACTGCTTTAATGCTTACCGCAATAAAATCCTGAGTATTATTTAATATCTATTGCAATAAGAGAGGTCAGAGGGCCATTGTGTGTAGGTGTAGCTCTTTTTATAGATCCTACCAACACCTACATTAAACAATAATTCAATACAAATATTGTGCAGGACGACGACAATTAAAGACATTAAGGCCTAGATAATAAGTAGTCATTAGCCTAGATAATAAGTAGTCATTAGCTTAGATAATAAGATAGTGAATAACATTGTAAACACTTGCACAAAAATTAACGAATTAGTAGTTTACCAAAGTGAATTCCATAATTAGCGTATCGACGGGCTGTACTTCCTATCGACGCCGTCTTCCTACACCATTTATAACCGTAATTGTTAAATTAGTAAGAAAATGGTGTAGGAGACGAGCAAATAAATAAAATGTCATTAAAATAGGCCCCGGAAAAAGCAGTTCTGTTCTGTCCAAAACAGGTCTCCCCGCCCGAAAGTAGAGCAAGACGGAGAGAACTTCTCCTTCGCTCGGGCTGGGATTGGACAGAGCAGAAAATGCGATCGGTGTGTCGTCACCGTACGTACGGCACACAGTCCGGGGTAACTATAGCAACAGTTTTACAGCCCGTCGACACAGTTCGTCGGCAATCATCGGTCACAGTTTATCGGAACCTCGTGCAGTTTGGGCAACCGCTGCCCGACAGCTGTCCTAGTTATCTTAACTAGCCTCGGTGTCGCGAATCGGCAAAGTCGCGACCTAGTATACCGAAATCCGTAACAAGATCGCGGTTCGGCAAACCCGCGATCAAAACACCGATAACTCTCAGTGAATTTAGTGATAACGCATTTTCTCTATTAACAGTAAAATTGTGCAAGTGTTTGAGTGTTCGTGGAAAGACACAATAGTGTATAGACTCCGTAGAATTAAGTATAGAATAACTATAACTACAAGACAAACTGTTATCAGTGTCATTATCAATTTCGTGCAAACCGTTTTCAATCGTGGAACTCTTGTAGTCCAAAAAGTTATGCATTGTAATTCGCCACGAAACGCTTTAAAAGTGTGTGCAAAATCAATTACTAGGATAAGAAAGCTTTTCAAACATTTATAATTTAATTTAGTGATTATCGTACTTTTCTAAATCAGTAACAGTGCAATAAATAGTGTTTATTTACAAAGTGTCGTCTTTTATTCCACAATCCCATGACCGGCGCACGAGGTGTGTACAGTATAGACGCACATCTTAATGGTCCTTCGAGCCGGATCTCGTAATTGTGGAATAAAAATAAAAGGGCTTTGTAAATATATAGACTCAGTGTAGTGAAGTGTAACTGTGAAACATGCCTGTGACACGATCTGAAGGTAAAGCCAAGAAGGCAATACCAAAGGCGGTGAGCGAGGACACTCCGACCGCGTCGGCGACCAGTGCGGATACGGAGTCCTCCGCCGTCACGTCGGAAACGTCTCGAACGGGTATGTCATCCACGACTGGCATGACGGCTACCTCTGCCACGTCGGGGACTACCACGACGCAGACCTCCGCGGCCGAAACCTCGGACACATCGGGCGCCACACCCGGTTCGGGTGCAGAGAAATCGTCAGCGCCGCCATCATCGACGACGACGCTGAAAGCGGGTGCGCGATCGTCAGTGCTGATGCCGCCCCCCGACGAAGCACGCCGGCACGAAGAAACGTCGTACTCAAAACAGTCCGGTAAGTGCAAATCTAGTAGTGCTCGCCCTCCGCCCTCTAGCAAGAGAGGGACAGAGAAATCGAATAAAAGTAAGAGAATCCTTAAAGCGAAGGAAGACTTACTCAAGCTCCAGGTAGAGCTTGCCGCAGCACGCCTTGCTTCGATGCAGGCAGCTGATAGTGAGGAGAGGAGGACGCCGCCTCCCTATATACTCAATCAACCGTGAACAATCGCGTGGACGATTGGCTGCAAAATAGCGAGACAGCACGCCCCGTGTTGGCCTTAACCAATGAGCCTCACCAACCCCCGGCACAGCCAGTCGCTCCCATCGTAATGCCCACCTCGGCGGAGGAACCGACCCCGTCAAGAGGGGAGATAACCATAGGGTACCGGCGGGAGGATCAACCGACCTCTCCGTCTTAGCGGAAGCCATTACCAAGGCAATCAGTGCCGCTCAGAGGCCGCGGTATATAGAACTACCGACCTTTAGTGGGTCGCATAGCGAGTGCTTCCCTTTAGAGCCGCCTACCTAGAGACTGAAAAACTCTTCAGCCACGTGGAAAATACCAATAGGTTAAGAAAGAACCTAAAGGGAAAGGCTAGGGAGGCGGTGGACGGACTATTGATTACGAACACTAGTCCCTCCGAGATTATTCGTTCACTCGAATTAAGATTCGGTAGACCCGAGTCAATAGCGATGACTGAGATCGACAACCTCAGAAACCTCTCGCGCCTTACGGAGTCGCCGCGAGACATTTGCATCTTCGCAACGAAGATATCGAACACGGTAGCAACACTGAAAACTCTGGGTTGTCACAACTACATGCACAACCCAGAGATATCGAAGATACTGATCGAAAAGTTTACACCGACTTTGAAGTATCGGTATTATGATTACTCCACGTTGCAACCGGTGGAAGACCCGTGTCTACTCAAGATAGAACGGTTCCTCAGAAGAGAAGCTGAACTGTGTGGCCCGTTCGCGTTGCCAGAACAGGTCACGCCCGTCCCCACAAATGCCCCTTATAAGAAATTACACAAAGTAAATAATGTGCAAGAAAGGACACATTCACTCAAGTGCTTAGTGTGTGAAGACCCGGCCATTCTCGGGCCACAGAGTGTAGTAAATTCAAGAACATGAGTGAGGGAGCCAGGTGGGAGGCCGCCAAGGTCAAACATCTCTGCTTCAGGTGCTTGATCGAAACCGAACCCACTCTTGTAAGACAACGGCATGCGGAGTGAATGGGTGCAAGAATACACACCACCGCATGCTACACTACACTAAGAAGGAGACGGAGCCGCAAACCGAAGGCACGGAAGTGATCAACTCCGCCTGGACCTCAAGGGCTCAATCATTCTTGAAAGTAATCCGGTAGAGATCAGCGGGCCCAAGGGGACACGACTAACTTACGCACTGATGGACGACGGGTCAACCGTCACATTAATCGATGACATGTTAGTGAAAGCCATCGGTGCGACGGGACCGGTCGACCCACTTCGTCTACAAACGATAAATGAGGCCGGCCCCGCCGAACGTTCCTCACGAAGGGTCACAGTACGCCTGAAGGGAGTGAACGGTACATTTAAACGCATCACCGCCAGGACGATAAAAGACTTGCGCGTATCGGCTCAAACAGTGCCGCCGGAGCTAGTGGAGGGCTGCCCACACCTGAAGGATATCCTTCCACAGCTCACATATAAGACGCGCGTCCGCATATTTAATCGGCCAGGACAACTGGCATCTCCTCACAAGCACAGAGATGCGCAGGGGAGATTCGAATAGTCCAGTAGCATCACTTACGCCGCTGGGCTGGGTCCTTCATGGGAGACATTCCCGCTCGATTGGGAAACATATAGACTTCGTATCGCACACGATGGAACAACCCATGGAGGACCTGAACGCTGCCATGAAGAACTACTTCGAACTGGATGCGCTCTGCATAGTACCAAAACGTCCTCACAACGATCCAGAGGAACAAGCCTGCGGATCCTGAGAAAAAACACCGTTAGATTGATGGCAGGTTTCAAACGAGCCTTTTGTGAAAAGCGACGACATAAGGCTTCCCAATAACTACGAAAACTCCTTGAGAAGGCTCGAAAACATAGAGAAAAAGCTGGATAAGGATCCAGCTCTCAAGAAGAAATACACAGACCAGATGGAGTCGCTGGTAAGCAAGGATATGCGGAGCTCGCGCCCCAAGCCACGACTCTCCACAGAACGTGGTACCTGCCGCACTTCGGGGTGACCAACCCCATGAAGCCCGATAAGCTCAGGGTAGTCCACGACGCCGCCGCCAAAACCAAAGGAGTTTCTCTGAACGAAGTACTCCTTAAGGGGCCCGACCTGCTGCAATCGTTGCCCGGAGTCGTTATGAGATTCCGGCAGCATCAATCGCGGTGACTGCTGACATAGCGGAAATGTTTATGCAGGTCAAATTGAGGCCAGAAGACCGTGATGCTCTCAGGTACCTCTGGCGCGGTGAGCAGAGGAACATACAGCCGAGGGAGTATCGAATGACATCCCTAATCTTCGGAGCTTCGAGCTCGCCCGCCTCCGCCATATTCGTCAAAAACCTTAATGCGGAACAACATAGGTCCACCCATCCCGAGGCCGCCGAGGCGATAGTCCACAAACATTACGTCGACGACTACCTAGATAGCTTTCGAAATATAGAGGACGCGGTGCGTATCGCCAAAGATGTCAGGGAGGTACATCGACGGGGTGGGTTTGAACTTAAGCAATGGAGGTCGAATTCATCCAGTCTCCTGC